AATGATGTCAAATATATCCAAAAAAGAGTCATGTTATGATAATTAGATGTAAGGAACACCGTAGATTGGTATTTCCAGATTTGTATTTATGTAGAGCTAATTCAATGTCTGTACAGATGCCATGTATCTTGGTCATTTTTTTTACTGAGGACCTCAGTGATGATAAAGATATTATTCGACAGTGTCGTAAATTATATGCTCAAGGTAATATGCTAGTTAGGAAATTTATGTGTTCGCCGGATGCGAAGGTGGCTTTATTTAGGGCACTGCGCATCAGTGGTGTAATTTTAAGAAGAGCAATTTATACAGGCTTGCTGTGGCCTATAATGATGCCATGAGAATGCTTCTTAGGGTACCAAGATACTTTAGTGCTAGTCAAATGTTTGCTGAGTTGAATGTTCCAGCCTTTTCGGTTGTATTACGAAATCTCATTTATAAGTTCGTCCAGAGAGTGGATGTTTCTGAGAATGGAATTGTAAAGGTTTCAGTGAACCCCTCGTATAGTTGTCTTAGGTACACATCGGGCCTCTGGAAATGTTGGCTTAATAGCGGAAATTGATTATATGTTGGTGTTACCAAGGACTGTTTAGTATCCAACCTATCGTGCATGGTTGCAGTACAGTCCTTGTTGTTTGTTTTAATAGTTATCTGTTATTAGTATATTGGTCTGGTTAGTTGAGCAGAGATTGTCACAAGTTACAACTTTAATAGATTGTTATACATACTTATTTCAATCTTACAATTACAGGTACAGCTTAGAGTTAGATTGCTATACTGTTATCAACCTTACATATACACACTGCAAACACAAGGGTGTTAAATTCAACACCATGGGTGTTAATTTTAACAATTTCCCGGTATCTATATCGGAAAACACCAGCTGGTGATATTTAACACCAGGGTTTGGAATTAAACAATTCGATTCCACTCTTGCTGTTGAAGTAATTCCGCCTTTGGTGTCAAAATCTAACACCATTATTTAAACTTGGGGTTAAAGTTCAATTCTAGCTTTGGTGTTAAACAATCCAACACAATTTATTTCAACACCAGTGGTGTGTAGAATTTAATCCTGATTTTTATTGTTAAAATCAATACCAATGATTTAACACTCAATTCAAATAATCCTGCGGTGTCTGTTGGATTTAGTAGTAACATTTTTCTAAGTTTTCTGTCTGCAGAACAAATGTTCACACTTAACGGCATGATTGCGCTAATGAAATAGGATATTCAGACCTTGACTAAAATTCCATAACCACGATATCCCGAAGAGATTCTTGACGATACGACGTCATATCATATGACAACTGTCGTCCAATGATTTTGCTCGAATCCACTAACTTATGCGCATGCGCAAGTTCAACACCATAACACCAAGACTCGGAACATCAACCTGTAATTAAATATTTCGACACTCTGTTGGTGTTGAACGGACGTGAAATTAACACCAAGTGTGTTGGTATTTTCTATTCCGTGCTGGTGTTAGAAATTTAACACCCTGGTTTTTTTGCAGTGCAGGTTACATAATACAGGTTAGATTGTATATACGTAGTATAGTTTACTTTGTTATACTCTTTGTAAGATGTGTTGTTATTATACTCATCATGTTTATACTCCCTATATATATATATATATATATATACAGGCGCGGATCCAGGGGGGCCGAGCGGGCCTTGCCCCCCCCCCCCCCTGCAAAACAAAAACAAAAAAAAAGAGAGAAGAAAGGAAAAGAAGGGAAAGGGGAAAAGGAGAAAAAGGGGAAAGAAAGGAGAGGAAGAAGAAAAGAAAATGGGGAAGAAGGAGATCAGGGGGCCGAAAGGGCCAGGCTGTTAACCCCCCCCCCCCCCCCCCAATTAAAAAAATAAGAGAGAAGGAAGGAAAGGGAAATAAAAAAGGAAAAGAGGAGATACTGGCGTACTGATAGATGGGGGGGGGGTCTTGGGGGAAATCAAATTCAAACGTGGTTTATTTCTAATTCCACAACGGTGGATTACAAATAATGCTGAAATGACATAATTTCCGAAATTTTTCCTCACTTTTTAGTAAATTATACGTTAGTATGTGTTTGTTGGAAAATGACAAATTCCTAAATTTACAGCCAGGCAAAAAATATGATTCTTGAGATTCCTACATGTCAGGGCCCGAGGTACGGCGGGGATCGAGAGCCTCGAGCTCCCCCCCCCCCCCCCTCCCCCACTTTTCTTGAAAAAGTATATTAAAGAGAAATAAAATAGAATGAGAGCAAGAAAGTAAGAATAGTTAACTGCCAGTGTTAACAAAATAATGAGGCATCAAAATATGCTCATCTGACCGTGATTAAATGCCTAAAACCCCTAAGCTTCCTGCCTGGATTCCATCTAGGGCCCTACGGCGGGCCCTTAGATGATCATCTGACGGTAATGTAATGCCTAAAACCCCTGATTTTTTGGGGCTCCGCCCCCTGGACCCCACGCAAAATAGTGACCTGCCAGTGTCACAAAATAATAAGGTATACAAAAAGATATGCTCATCTGACCTTAATTAAACGCCTAAAACCCCTGAGCTTCCGGGGCCGGCTCCGCCGCCTCGACCCCACCAGGGGCTCTAAGGCGGGCCCCTGATTGCTTATCTGACCGTAATTTATTGCCTTAAACCCCTGAGCTTGCGGGGTCGGACAAGGTATCAAGATGTGTTTATCTGACCGCAGGCGCGTAGACAGGGAGGGGGCGGTCCCCCCCCCCCCCAATCGGAAGAGGACGTAGGAAGAAAAAGGAGCAGACAAAGAACATCTTTGAAATTCAGACAAGGATTAAGAGTATAGAGAACGGTACAACGCATAGTTTTCTTTCTCTAATAATAAAACGTCAAAGCCTGGCGCTGGAGGGGAGGGGAGGGCTGAATTCAGACGAGGAATCAGAGGCGAAAACGGTAATACGAATCTTTAATGATTTAATGAAACGTAAAAGCTTTTGCGCTTCGTGCGGGATGGAGGGGGAACCTGAATTCAGACGAGGATTATTTACGAGAACGGTACAACGAATCGTCTTTTTCTCTAATGATTAAATGAAGATTAAAAGCTTCCGCGCTTCGCGCAGGAGGGGAAGGGGGGCTGATTTTAAACAAGGATTAAGAGTCGAGAACTGTACAACGAATCGTTTTCTTCCTCTAATGATTTAATGAAACGTAAAAGCTTCCGCGCTTCGCGCGGGAGGGGGGGGGGGGACTGAATTCAGACGAGGATTAAGAGTCGAGAACGGTACAACGAATCGTCTTCTTTCTTTAATAGTTTGGTAAAACGTCAAAGCTTCCGCGCTTCGCGCAGGAGGGGAGGGAAGGAACTGAATTTAGACAAGGATTAAGAGTCGAGAACTGTACAACGAATCGTTTCCTTTCTCTAATGATTTAATGAAACGTCAAAGCTTCCGCGCTTCGCGCGGGAAGGGAGGGAGGGAAACTGAAATCAGACGAGGATAAAGGGTCGACAATGGTACAACGAATCGTCTTCTTTCTTTAATAGTTTAGTAAAACGTCAAAGCTTCCGCGCTTAGCGCAGGAGGGGAAGGGGGAACTGAATTTAGACAATAATTAAGAGTCGAGAACAGTACAACAAATCGTCTTCTTTATCTAATAATTTAATGAATCGTTAAAGCTTCTGCGCTTCGCGCGGGAGGGGGGAACCTGAATTCAGTCGAGGATTAAGAGTCGAGAACTCTACCATGAATCGTCTTCTTTCTCTAATAATTTAATAAATCGTAAAAATTTTCGCGCTTCGCGCGGGAGGGGAAAAACAAAATTCAGACGCGAATTATTTTCGAGAATGATACAACGAATCGTCTTCTTTCTCTATTAATATAATGAAACGTCAAAGCTTAGGGGGGAACTCGCCCCCCCCCCCTGCCCCGACCCCCCCCCCCCCCAGCATTACGTCACTGTTGGTCACCATTACGTACCAATATTTGGCTCGCATAATTTCAAAATTGGGCCTCCCCCCTAAGAAATCCTGGATCCGCGCCTGTATATACAGTATATAAATATATATGTAACATATGTTTTATGGACCTCTGGCTTGTGCAGCTGAGTTTGAAATAAAGTTCTGAATTGAATTGAATTGAATTATTCATACATATTTACTTGAAAGCAGATTATAAATGCATTTCCTGTATATCATGAATTATCTTTATCTAAAATAGTACTATCCGAATTTATTTTCTTAGATTTATTTTCTTCAATTTCTAATTTGTATTTTAACAGAAACAAGAAATATTTCCTTATTTACAATCCTCGCAAATAAACCAAGATAATGAAGAGGTGAATTAATATTTGTAACATTTTCCTTTGCGTCATAAAAGCCATATACAACACAAATGGGTAAGATTTCAAAAGTTCTACACTAGGAGTTAATAATATTTAAATAACATTCCAAAATGCATAAATCTTTTCGCATTAAAAAATTTCATGCATTATGGTACCAGTTATGAAACATTAATAACACATATCGTATTCTTTGAGTTTCCAATTAAATAAATAAACTAATCCAATACTAACAAATAATAGTTAATTTCCCTTTTTTTCATGGAGTTCTTTAAAACTCAGGAAACTAAACAACGCCTGAATTCTGCATATTCAAAAGTAATTTGGAGTAGATTTTAAGCATTATCTTTGTGAGAAAAATAAATTTAAAATTAAATACTAATATTTTGGACAGGATCATCCTGTACTTTATCACATTTTCATCATCTATGGCAAATTGGGCACTTACAGTAGGCATTATTTATATTGTGTCATCACTACATTGCTGGGTGTAAAATATTTGGAATGTAAATACGCGTTACACATTGCAGTCAATGGTTTTTAAGCAGACATACATGGTAAATTTTTTTCGTCTACAACCTTGATAATACACTTGAAGTAATGCTGATACATTCCTTCATTTCACCTTCCAACCTTGTTCAAAAGATCTTCATCATGAAACATTCAAACAATAACATGAATATTATACGGAGAAATCTTGTCGATGTCACATCCTAATCAATGGCACTGGTCGATGCTAAGTGTGAGCGCCCTCTGTAGTGAATAATGCCTATTCGGGGATTCCCCTTTTGATTGACTTTAGCTTTGCCCCCCAAAACATGATTATTAAATATACAGTAATGGCGTCAACGGAATAGCGTTTCATTGTGTGCAACAGAAGGGGTTGTACTCTCAACAGAGCGGAATTCAAACATTTCTTCTATCTAAACAAGGTAAGCAGTGGGCAGTGATACATTTATGTCTTTGAGAACAACGGAAATAATTATATCCCATCTATTTCCCAATTGTAGATTGGAATATGTATAACAAACATAATGGCAGATTTGTTAATATCAGGGCTGAGATAAACATTGGTATTCTGTACAAGTTCACTTATATGAATTGTGCACGCACTGATAATGTAAATGTCCAATGAGCGGGGTAGCTGTCTGAGTTGGGTAGTAATCAGGATAATACTTATCCCGCCCATTGAGGTCATTTGATTCATCTGCCGGTTGTCTTAGCGTGATACTTGTGTAAGGTTAGTCAAATGGGGTACAAGTTTTTAAGTTGGTGATAGCTAATCAGGGAGAGGGCATTAAGGGGGCCCGGTATGCCTGGAGAATGAATAAAAGTACAGTGAAATGTAACTGTAACGTTATCATAGAAATATACAACATCTTCGTCGTCGTCGTCCTACGAGTCATGACTGATCCTTTGTGACCCTATTGATGATGACGTTCCAACCACCTATATCCTGGGCATAGCGATGAACCGTGAAGATGTTCATGCCAGTATAAATGTCTTTCATCCCGTCGGCCCATCGAACTGTTGGCCTACCACGTTGTAGTTGACACTCGACCTTTGGTAATGACCTTCTTTTAGAAATGCTGTAAATTGTTCGTATCTATCTTCTGGCATAGGGTGACCTTTCACTCCAATTTGGTTCTTGACAAAATCATTTGATTAACGAATCAAATATCCTCAGCATCCTCCTCTAGCACCACATTTCGAAAGCGTGGATTTGCTTTCTTTTTGTTGCTCCAAGAGCCCGGGTCTCTATTACATACACTAAGCATATATTATGAATAAATTACTTCGCTACCCAAATATGAGGTGCCTAAACATGCAAATGGCATTATGAGGGGGTGGTAAACAAATGCTGGAACTGTTCTGTATAATGTATAACGACGTTCAAAGTTCAAGTGTTTCTTCGAGTGTTTCTTGTCTGCTCATTATTCCTGATAATATCGCAACGCTTCATGACAGATGCCCAAGTTAATTTTAGAGAGCACTAACAAATTATCTTTTTATAAGTGTTTTCATTGATTGTAAATTGTATATTGTGAAGCACATTGACAGGCCCTAATATGCGCTACAGAATAACGATATAGAACGATTTACTCAAGATATCAAGACCAAATTACTAGGTCAGACCCTGTGGCACTTTATGGTTTAAATGTGGTTTCTAACGGTTTTCCGCCCATTGTTCTTGTTTGCTTTCAGGGTTTCGTTTTCTGTTTAAAATCTCAACGAATCTCAAGAATAATCATGGTAGACAAGGATGCTCTCTTCGACGAACTCTCAAAGAATTTTCAGCTGGAAAGTATTCAACGTTTTGCAATAAAATGGGTGTGGGCTACAATGAAGCTAAGAGCATGCTGACGAGATGTAAGGAGGATTACAACGTGGCTCTGAGAGACCTTCTATCTCAATGGGATCAAAGAATAAAGGGTGTCACCAGGGAACAACTAGAAGATGCCCTGGACGGAGCAGAGGTCGGTGGACTCTGTTACATTGTGAGGAAACATTACGAAAAGGGTAACATTCAGTCATTCCGAATAGGATTTATTCTTTATAATCTAAAATTGTGATTTGGCGCTGTTCGAGATACTATAAATCAGGTTATCAACCAAACAGACAGATCGGACTCGGTACAAACTAATGCAAAAGGTAACATAGATAGGCAACAGCTTCTTTCTAATCAATTTTATTCCACTTGTTTTTCTAGCTTCTGCTCTGTATTCCTCTTCATTTAATTAATTGTTATATTTCTGTCTACTTCCACACTTCTCTTTCTTCATTTTCAGTCTTCATTCTTTCATGGTAACTTATTCTGTCTTACGGTAGGGTTAATATTTACTAAAAATGGGTAGAGGATACAAAAGAAGAAGAACAATGAAGGAGGGAACATAGAGGAGAAGAAAGTAGGCTTAGACGAAGGAGACTGGATGAAATTAATTCAAAAGAAGAAGGCACCATGGAAAAATACAAAAATGAAAAGTGAAGAATGGGCCTTGAAGAGTGAAAATAACGAGAAGTAAAGAAATGAAAGAAGAAGAATTGAGAAAAGCAACATCAACGACAACAACACAAATTAAACACAAGTATAATTAATATCTTAATTCCTTATGAAGGTTCCCCGAGTACGTATGCTGCTTCAGAAGAGGATACTGGTGACATTGTTCAAAGAGGCGAACAGGTCAGGAACCAAGCTGAACAAGCTCCCACAGTGAGAAAAAGAGGTAAAGTGATCTTCACCACTACATGTGGTCCTGAAAGTGGTCCTAAAAGTGGTCATCTAGTTGTATATTTAGAAATTTGTTTTTAGAGTTCACCAACAGCATACATCATTCAGAAATCACTGTTCAATGATAAATAATTAAGACTAATTTGCATTAGGAATCGCAAGATTTGTGTCGGTATGAAAAGACTTTATTCTAAAGTGTTCATTATTGTTGTCCCTATAAAATATAGTAGTACAATGTACTCCCATCACGATATGCTTCTGTTGGTTTTGTTTCGTTTTGTTCATTCTTTTATTTGTTTGTTTGTTTGTTTTTGGACTTGACACTTTTCTCACCAATCTTATAATTATTCTTGTGATCCTAACAAACGATACAGTTTCCAATGTTACGTCTGCTGCCGCAGTGGGAGACGATAAATATGATACCATTGCCTATAATAGAGGAGGAGGAGACAACTCGAAGAGGGAGACACAGCAAGTGCCTGCAGTGAGACAAAGAGGTGACAGCTTTTATTGCTTGTATCTCAACTTGTCATTGTCATGATATTAGTAAATTATCGTCTTAATACCGGGGTGTTGTATATTGAGAACCCATTTTACTTTACTGTTCGTCTGAGCTGATGTAGGGTTTAATCACGAGACATAATTTGAATTAAATTGATTGTAATCGTGAAGTATAGTATGCTTAGAGCAGGAGGACTGCATATTTTAGAAAGGAATATATAAAAATTTGAAGAACAGTCAATGCGAGCAATAACGATAAAGCATAATTATTATTATTATTAGTTCTGTTACTTATTCGCCCATTCATATATAAAAAGT